GGCTTGTTCTACTCTCTGTTAGAAGCACTCCTCGGCAGGTATCCCATAGCCCTGGCATCTCCAAGATCTTGGGGTCTCCAAGCCAATCCAGGCTTCACCTTCACAGTTTCACAGAATGGCCTCTTTACTAGATCTCCATTCAGGGACACCAGAGACACAGGCATGGCCTCCTTTTTGGGGGAGACCCAAAGCTAGAACCATGTGTTCAAAGCTACCAAGTTCTGCAGCTTGCTGGGGCTGGAACATGGTCCCCTCATTTAATTACATCTTCACCAGCTTTCTGTTTTCAGTGGGTTTCTTCACTGCTTAAATTTGGCTATTCTGAATGTGCTTGTTCTGTAGACCAAGCTGCCCTCAAATTCAGATCTTCCAGCCTCTACCTTTCCAGTGCTGTAAATAAAGGTCAGCACTACCACACCTGTCTCCTAGCTTTTCTTTAATTCCTTTTTAAAAGTTAGAAACTTAGCTGGGTGTGATCTTGTCCTGAAGTTACCACCCCCTTTATTCTATGTCTTAATCTGCTTATATCCTTGAACAAAGAGTTTTTCTCCATTCCACTTCCTGGGGCTTCATTTCTTCTCAAATTTTGCACTTTGTAATTTACTCTGCTCAGCTTGCTCTTTTTCATTATAAATGTTCACTAGAGTTACAGCTAATAACCACATATTTGATTCTGTACTAGGCTCTTTTGAGATTACCTCTGCCAATGGAAATAATCCAGAATTCTCCACTTTAGCCTCAGACAGAGTCTTCAGACAAGGGCAAAAAGCAGCCTTTTTCACCAAAATATCACAGGACCACATCCTAACACTCCACAGTTCAAATGACACTCAGCTTCACTGTCTTCCATGTTCCTGTTTGGATGGCCCATTAAACAACACTTAATGTGCGTTCAACTCTTTTCTAATTCACCATCCCCAAATCCATACTCCTTCAAACAAAATCATGGTCAGGTCTGTCCCATCAATACACCACACCTGGTACCAAAATCTATTATCTGTACTAGTCAGAGTTCTCGAGAGTCACAGAATTTATAAAATGAATCTCTCTCTCTCTCTCTCTCTCTCTCTCTCTCTCTCTCTCTCTCTCAAGAGTGTGTGTGTGTGTGTGTGTGTATACGTGTATATACATACATGTACATATGGGAATTTATTGGAATGACTTACGAGCAGTCCAACAATAGCTAGCTGTAAATGGAAAGTCCAGGACTCTAGCAGTTCTGTCTCGCAAGGCTGTGTTTCTCAGCTAGCCTTTTGTATCCACTGGAATCCAAAAGTAGGCTCTGATGCCAGTGAAGGGATGGATATGTTGACAAGGTGAGGGCAAGCAGGGGAAGAGGAAGGAAGCCTTGCATCTTCCATCGTCCTTATATATAGACCTCCAGTTGAAGGTGTGGCCCAGATTAAAATATGCCCTCTGCCTCAAGATCCAGCTCAAAACCCTGTGTTTTCCAGCCTCAAGGTCTGGATGAAAGGCCGTGTTGTCGCCCACCTTATGATCTGCATCATCGGTGTGCCCTCTGTTTCTGGATTATAGTTCATCTGAGATATAGTCAAGTTGACAGCCAAGAATAACCATCATAGACATGGTTAGATAGAGCCTTACTCATATGTCTCCCTTTGCCCATCTCCAGAAAAATCAGGTGTCTTTATATAAACAACTTAATGTCTTTGCTGTCAACACAGGGGTAGAAACATTAAACTAAAGTCTTAATAAAAACATTCTTCTACAATCTGTGGAAAAGAAAGGGGGCTGAGGGATGGGAGATGGGAGGAAGAGTAATCAAAAAGCAACTTATACATGCACAAAATTATCAAATCACAAGATTAATTAATAAAAGTTTACTTCCTCAAAGTGATTCCCAGAGGTCCTTGTATCATGATTAGGAAGACAGTCCCATGATTCTGGACATGCCAACCTCAGGCCTGCATTTACATTGTGTATTAACATTCTCCAATGCTGGTATTATGTTTCCCAGCTGTCTTTAGTTAGCACCAGAATATGGTCAGCTCACACAGATGAGCCATAGTGCTAGACTTACTAATTTTTTTTCAGTAAGCACACTGAAGAATAGATTCTAAATGTTCACCTAGTTAGCATAAATTAATCCATTTTGAAATCTAATTTCTCATTTTGTAACATTTTTAGATAGTCCACATCAGATGAGAACAAAGGGTTTTAACCTTTGAAAGTTTAGAATTCTATAACGGGTAATTGCACTCAAAACTGTGTCTCACTGGAACTATTCACATTGTTAATTTTTCTCCACTGGTGCTCATTACTATAATACCCTTTTGTTATTTCACTGCAATAGCCACCCCTTGAAATGTTGAAATATTTCCCTGGCATAACCCACTTACTCAAAATGATAGTTTTATTTTTACTTTTAAAAATAACTTTTATACATTTTTAATTAAAATGGAATTACATCATTAACCCTCTTCTCTTTCCTTCCTTCACCCTCTCCCAACTGTCCTTCTCCCAAGCCCCTCCCATGTCCCCCCACTCTCAAATTGATAGCATTTTTTCTTTATTGCTGTTACATGTGTGTATGTGTGTATGTATATGTATGTGCAAATACATAAATATATCATGCTGAGTCCATTTTTGCTATTTGTGTATATGGGATTACAGAGCTGACCATTTTACACTGGAAAAACAGCTAATTCTCCCTCTCTCAGCAGTTACTATTGGACTATAGTCCTTTGTCTGGAGGTGAGACCCATTAAAACGTTCCCCCTTCCATGTTAACATGCCCATTGATATTGTCATTGCTCCCATCTTGCTTGTACAGCCATTTCTTGAGAGACCATTTCATCACAGATTTCCCGGTGTTCTGGCTTTTATAATCTGTGTAGAGCTATAGATGCAAAGCTGCCATGTAGATGTAGCCATTGGGCTTTCCACAATATGTTGATCTTCCCATATCTATTCACACCATGCTAGATACAGAGGAAGAGAGCTGTAGCAAACATGTAAAGTCACAACAGAAGCAAATGACATTAGATTGTTAGTTGGGTTCATCCTTGTAGATCTCTGGACATTTCCCTAGTGCCAGATTTCTCTTCAAACCTATAATGGCTCCCTCTATTATGGTATCTTTTTTCTTGTTCTCTATTTTTTTCCTGTCTGAATCTTGCTCTCTCATGCCCACCTCTCCCCTCCTCTTCCTCCTAATTCCCTCTCCCCTCTGTCCATGCTCCCAATTTGCTTGGGAGATCTTGTCCCTTTCTCCTTCTGTGAGGGACCATGTGGGTCTTCAGTATTTCTTAGCTTTTCTGGCAGTGTAGATTGTAGGCGAAAAATCCTTTGCTCTATGTGCAAAATCCATACATGAGCGAGTACATACCGTGTTTGTCTTTTTGTGACTGGGTTACCTCACTCAGGATTGTTTCTTCTTGTTTCACCCATTTACCTGAGAATTTTAAGATTCAGTTGGTTTTTTTTTTTTTTTTTTTTTTTTTTTGTTTTTGTTTTTTCTACTAAGTAGTACTCAATTGTGTAAATGTACCTTATTTTCTCCATCCATTCTTCAGTTGAGGAGCATCTATGTGGCTTCCACATTCTGGCTATTACAAATGCTGCTATGAACATAGTTGAACAGATGTCCTTCTTGTATGAATGGGCATCTTTTGGGTATATTGCCAAGAGTAGAATTACTGGATCTTGAGGTAGACTGATTCCCATTTTCCTGATTTTACTGATTTCCAAAGCGACTGTTCGAGTTTACACTCCCACCCGCAGTGGAGAACTGTTCCCCTTTCTCCACATCCTCTCCAGCATAAACTGTCTTTGGTGTTTTTGCATCTTATCATCAAGGAATTCACAAGTTGGCATTGCCTGTTTGTGTGGACATTTCTACAACAATTTTACTGTAAGAGTGGATTTAAATGTCTCTTAGTGGAAAGACACTCCCAGAGGGAAGAGTTTCTAGACTATGAAGAAAATCTTCAGTAGAGATTGATTAGAGCCTTCAGCTTTGGAATATTTCTCTAGCTGAAGTGTCAAGTGATCAGCAACAGGGGGTTAGAGCAGCAGGGATCTAGAGCATGCTGAGTGTGCCTCTTGCCCATCAAGATCACACACTCCACTACTCTTGGTGTGGAGCTTAGATAAATGGATGAAGGCTCGGAGTTTTTCTGTTTAAATCAGTCACCATGACATCACTACTCAGATTCCCTGAGATGAGTCACAACAAATGGCATAAGTATTGTGGATACTGACAGTAAAATGACAGCCATGTTGAACTGTTGGTTCAAGAGTTGATTGATGCCTTAGGAGACAATGTCTTATCAGAGTTATGGCGCAATACAACTCATGTTTTCTAGTTTTCATTCCATTACAGTCACTACACATGGCATTGTCTGGAATTCATTAATAAGTCTTTTTTCATTGTGAAAAAGTCTTTATTTTAAGAAAAAAATTTAGTTAACAAAAAATTTAACAAGTTTCACTTAGCAAAATATACCCAAAAGGAAATCACAGTACAAAGAAAGCTTTAAGTCAAGGCCTTACCAATTTCCTACAGTATTAGTATTGTGTCTCAATTCTCAAAACTAACTTTTAATAAGCTTAAACTTAACCTAAAGATTTAAATGAAAATAAAAACTAGAATGAACATGAGAAATTCTTCTTTGCATCAGGGATCTAGCACCTTTGAATTCTCCAGAAAAGCACATGTCCCCAGTGTGTTCACTGTGGTGTGCTTAAAAATCCACTCAACATAACTTAAACTACTTAACTCACATAACATCACTCTTAAGTATACTACCAAAAATGTTAATTGAGAAAGGCAGAAGAAAATAGTTTTAGTTTACTCAATATTACATGCTAGAAGAAAAGTTTACATGAGAAACACTGAAGAGGTAATTTTTAAATCCAGATTTCACAAACTCATGGTTCAAAGTGGGTCCCACAGCTTCCTCTAGAGTTTAAACTGCTCTTGACTGATTATTGGCTGCCTGTGAAATTTTTGATTTAAATTCTGCTACTTTAAATGCTCCTACTTATACTAATCATATCCACCCATGCTGTTCTGACCGCTGTAGCCGGCCCTGTAACAGCCACTCACTGACTGGCTCTCCAGGCCACTGTAAGTTGCCTGGGCAGCTGACACTCGCATGCCCTGCATCACCTGGCTGCTATAAGCCCCATTGCTAGCCCCTGTTGTTGAATTCAGGAAGAGTTCTATGTATCTGTGCCGCATGTTGGCCCTGTCCTTGGACATAGCTGCCACTGCTTCTTCATGGGTGGCAAACTCAACATCAGCTTCTCCCGTCACTCTTCCATCAGGACCAATCTCAATATGAACTCTCACAGGGTTGAGTGGAGAGAAGTTGTAAAGGTCGTTCTCTGTTGCTTTGTAGGGCAGCCCTCTCATGTGGATGCAATGGTCGGTGGTGCTCTGCACTGTGAACTGGCTGTCTCCGTATCTGTGATCATACATCCCTGAGAGACAGTAGCTGAGGTCTCTCCCAAACAGGTCAGTGGTGAAGCCATAGCCATCACTGAGGCCACTGTATCCTTTATAGCCCCCATAGCCTGCACTATAGGCACCAGACCTTATCCTATCCAAGCCTGCCTGTTCGACAATGTCACTGTATCTCTGTGCTGTGCCAGGCCGGTCATAGGGCCCAGGCCTCTGCACAGACATGAACTTTAGAGGTGGGTCTGAGTATGACCTAACTTCTTCCTGACTCCTCTTGAACACTTCAATATACCTGTGCCCTAGTCTCTCCTTGTGCTTTCCTAGAGCTTTCTCAGCTAACTCTTGTGAGGCAAACTGAACGAACGCCTCCCCTGTAATCTTGCCCTCTGGGTCCACAGGTAATGTGATACCGTTTGGCACAATTTCCAACCCTGAGAAGAACTGAACAATTTCTTCCTTTGTGCAACCAAATGGGAGTCCCCGCAGCCTCACAAAGCCATCATTGGTGCTGTCAGGGCTGTTTGGACCACTGTGCTTCAACACCCAATCCATCTCGGTTCTGTGTGACTTGAACACCTCAATATACTGGTGTCCCATGCTTTCCCTGTCTTTTTTCAGAGCCAATTTTACATCATCTTCTGACTCAAGTTCAAGAAAAGCCTCATCACTCTGCTTGCCTGCTCTAGTATAAATGAAATGAACACCTGCGACCCCATCATGAATTGTGCAGTCGGAGAGGAAGTTTTGTACGTCCTCAATTGAGCAGGACCAGGGTAGGCCATGAAGTTTGACCACATAGCCTTCACCTCCCTCAGGGCCCAGCATCATGGACACTTCACAGAGCTGATGTCACACAAACTTGGGCAATTTTTGGTAGCTTAAAGAACCACCACGGGTGCCTTACATAGGAAACACTTATGGAAGGTACAAGGTTTCCACAAAGGAAGGCAGAAGTGACTTCTACTTTCAGTAAGCAACATGGCTTACGGAACCCAACTCCACCCAACGTTTTAAAAATGCAGAGAGCTCCAGGGAAAGTCCAGGTGCATCTTCTTTTTGTTCTCAACCTTTAGGAAGACGAGGCACAGTCCTCCTTCCACGACGAAGCCGGAAGGATCCATTAATAAGTTTTGTTTCCTTGGTAAATATTGTTTTTGTTTTGTGTTTGTATTGCTGTTTTTATTTGTGTTTGTATTTGTGTTTGTGTTGTGCTGTGTTGTGCTGTGCTGTGTTGTGTTGTGCTGTATTGTGTTTTGTTATGTTGTGCTGTGCTGTGCTGTGCTGTGTTGTTTTTGTTACCAGCTAGTTAGTTTATGTAGCTGCATAACCACACAGGGAATCTGTGTCCTACTCTCAGGCACCACTGAAGGGCTTTCAGGTGGGGTTCTTCTAGTGGCTTTCCCTCATCCTTCAGGCTTCTCATAAGATTCTGGGGAAACTTGCATGGGTTCTTCAATAAATGAGATTCTTCAACTTCCTACTGATTGCATACAAAACAATTTTTAAGTAATATGTGATAAATCGGATGATTTTTCTACCTTTCTGAAGGATTTGGCTTTCAGATTTTTTTTTCTATTAACCACAGTGTATTCCCTGTGTATTCCCCAGGCTTTAGCACACTTGTGAATCCTTCCTGGTTCCTCAGTAATAAATACTGATAATTAAAAACCTCACAATTCTGACTTTCTACTGTTAAGTTTTGGTAGACATACCAATAGCTCTTTTCATGGAGGATCATTAAGATCCCTCCACATCATAAAGGCGAAATCCTGTTACACATAATCCAGATAGTGCTCATTCAGTCTGGGCCCTCACTACACTACCTTCACCTCCAGCATGCTGACTTCCCACCTCAGATCATGTGACTAGACCTCAAACCCCCTTCATGAAACATCCCCTCATGACCAACTGTCACAGTGATAAAGACCATCTAATGACAATGTTGTTATCACTTAAGCAAGCATGGTTTCTTCTATCTTGAAAGTGAAATAAAAGACAAATCTTTGAACATTATTTTAATCATTAGTTTAAGTGGTGTCAACCTAACATCAACAATTGATGGCAGTAATTTGGCTGAATGTATCTTTATTCTCTTGATTGCAAAGCTAGTTCAACGCAGATTTCTACAAGGCAGATTGTAAATTAGTTGCTGCTTCTGGCCCTGGAGGGTGGTGATTTCTGGGAGACATAAATCTGTTCAGGGAGAGGATGGAGTAAGAACAGTGATGCCTGTGATACAAATGGAATTTCGCCTCCATGTTTCTCTCCATAGTGGAAAAATAAATGAAGAAAGTAGGAAGTGGGAGGACCTTTTCACCAAAATGAAAGTCAGGGGCTGTATAAAATTATTCAAAGATTAAAAGACACCCAAGCCAGTTTCTGTGTGTAGACAGCCTCTTGCTCACAATCAGTACAACTAAATTGCCTTCTAAAGAATGAGATGCCTGTTTCATGTATTGTGGATGTGGGCTCTGCTTATAAACAGGTAATTTTCTTGTCAACATGAAATACATCTAGTGAGTCCCTGGAGTTATCACGGTTTCTATGAGAGCATTTTAGGTAAAGAATAAATTGGATGTGTTTTAAAGTTAAATGTATGAAAGGATGTGCTGGGGAAACTGAGCTCATGTTCTTTGTGGGGGAGAGAGGAGGGAGAGGCTTTCTGGTGTGCCCAGTGGGGGCAGCAGGAAGCTTCCATAGAAGAGCTTTTCTACTGAAATTGTGAGAGAAAACAAACACAGGAGTGCTCTGATCCACTCTGGGGAATACTGAATCAGGTGTGGGACAAATACAGGTTCTGACCCACTCTATCAGGAACACTGTAGCAGGTGTGGCAGAGAATACAGGTGTTCTCTGACACACTCACATCAGGAATACTGTGCAAAAGAAAGGTTTATGTTGTCATAGGTTCAAAATCAGTTTATTTTCTGATGAAACACAACCTGCTAGAGTCTAAGAATATTGATTATGTGAAATAAGCCTTGCTCAGAAAGACAAATGCTATGTGATAAGATAAATGGTAAGTAGCATCTGGGTGAAATGAGACAAGGAAGGACCTTAGTAGGTTGCACCATAGAGGCTACGCTACAATTAGAAGAAGTAAGTTCTGCCTCTCCCCTGAATAGCAGGATGACCACTGGTAGCAATACATAGAACATTCCAAGATAGCATAATGAATGACTTTAAATGCTTTCATGACAAACAAAAGATAAATGCTTGAAGATCTTAGCCCAATGTGAATGCTATATATTGCACATGTGATTAACTATATGTTGTCCCATAAAAATGTACATTTTAATTCACAAATTAAGACATAAAAGAAGACAGTTGACTATTCTTTTAAGAGCATAGATTCCTAAGAAAATAATGCTGACAGTGACATAAATGTGAACGATGCCATTCTTCTCTGTAAATTTAATTCTGAGACATTTTCCTTAACATGCATCAAATCTAATCTAGCTAAACTGATGTGAAAGCAAGGCGCCCGGACATTCAAGAGGGAGGCTTTCTCTGCAATGCTCACACAAACACAGTTCCACACTAGTGATTTCCTCCTTCTCTTTCCCTCCCTTCAGCCAGGAAATATTATCTTCATTTCATGTGCTCTCGCTCTGCCTCGGCCATTTTTTGAAATTTTTATGAGGACATTCATAAAGCATATTTCTCAAGGTGCCTCTTTCCTTCTGTGTTGGTCAGGCTGTCTTAGGATATTCTTTTTTCTGTATGTGTATTGATCAAAATGGCTAAGTAGCATCCCATGATTTAAAGGAATAACCTATGTTTTATTTAGATATCTACTTTTGATAGCCCATTTAGGTAGTTTCACATTTTTTCCCATTATAAATAATGTCACCATGAAATTCTTATGTATCTTTCAGTGTTCATTTCTATTGAATTTAAGACTACTTGTAAACTTGTCAGTAGGATAATATATTCATGTGCTCACATTTCTTCCCAAGTCAATCCTCAGTGGGTATTTTATATGTTTCTAATTCTCAGCATTATAGATGTTTTGGACCAAAATGTCATTTATAGAAGAAGGCTGCCTGTGTGTCAATGTTTAGGGTAGCTTTGCCTTCTACTCTGTACATGGCCAATTCTCTCCTTGAAACTTGTGGTAACCACTGATGTCTATAGAAATATACTTCCTCTGGGAGGCAAAATGCTTCTTCCTTCTACTCTGAGAAGTGAAGATGAATCCATGGCATCTACTTTATTGGTTCAAAGAACTTAAAAAGATTTATCTCTGTTTACGTGACTTTCATATTTGCTATGGTTATTGCCTCCTATTATTTTTGAGATCTTAAATTTATTTGTATTGCCTCCATGTTTATTTTTAATTGAAATATTTTCATTCAATACATTCCTATTATGCTCTCCCCTCCCATACCTCCTCCCATTGGTGTCTACTTTTAAGAAAGAATGGTCCACACTGAAAGTTTTCTGTGACAGACAGACAGTGCTGTGGTTAAATTTTAGGTTTCATGGATATAAAAAAAATGGCCTGTAGATAACTCCCTAGCTCCAAATTTTAGCCACGATAATATAGGTTTCTACTTTAACCATAGTTTGGCGGGTATCCCTGAAAGTTTATATAAATTAAAAAAGAAAACATTACTCTTGTGAGGAATCTACTTGTTACCGATTTACCAGTTCTTTCATTGTACTGAGCTCACATCACTAGTATATGACATCTTGCTAAAATATTTTCCCATATCTGTTATATAATATATATCTTCTTGCAATATATTTCTCATTTTCATAATGGCACTTTTAAATACCAAGGAAACCAGTTATTCCTGTTTCATGGTCATACATCACTATAATAAGAAATTTTTCTCAGCTTCATTCAGGAATTAATTCAAAGTACTGTGTTGGCCATGTTGATATGTATGTAGTAAATAATTGCATAATAAACACCATTCTGCAATGATGGTCCCCAGAAGAGAACAGTGTCTGGGAAGGAGACTTCCTGATGTTATTAACATAACATTCTGCTTGTTTTATCACTCCTTCACCCATTTATTATTTCTTTAAAGGATTTAATTGATAAAGATTGAGTATTCCCATAGTAGTGATTGGTAGAAATATTCATTATGAGTGATTGTCCCATCAAGTTATTGAACCCACTCATAATACCTGTGATGTATATTAGGTCTTCAGAATGTGTGCATTTTCTGACTCCAAGTTAACACTCTTTGACCACAATGAGACCAACATCACACTATTGGAAAGCTATCATAGAATAAGCTGTAGATCATAGTGCTGATGAGAGCTGTGAGAAAAGACAACCTAAGCAAGAAATGGGCAGATGATGTGCAGTGAGAGAGCCACTATGGAGAACAGAGTTGTCTAAAACAAACAAGCAAGCAAGCAAGCAAACAAAACAGAACAATAGTTGCATGACCCAGCAATCCTATTTCTAGACACATTTGGTGGAAGCAATGTCTGTTTATTAAAGAAACAATGTACATGATCAAGTTGTTTGTGATAATCATAATAGTCAAAAAGTAGAAACCTATGTACCCATTGATGGTGGAAAGGATAAAGAAGGTATGGTGCATGTATTCAGGGAAGTGATAATCAGCTTTCAAAGAAAGAAAATGTATATGTGTGGCAACATAGATGAACTTGTAAGAAGTAACATTAAGCGAAACAAGCCATATAGAGGATGTAGCACCTGATTGTGTGGGACATAGGCGTGGAAGAGTAACAGCTGGAAAGGGATCTACCAAGACCCCAGCTTGTTCACACAGCTGTAGAACATAAGGCTAGAATAAGGCAGGCCCAGATTGCTAAATGGCCTATAGTGTGCTTCAGAGTATCTGAATGCACATGTGTTTGAGGCCCACTGCTGCCAGAGATAGGGCTTGTCCCCCCCCACCCCCAGTGTCATCAGTG